CTGCGTCTCGGGGGGGCTTCCTCACCCACCCCTCGCGTGCTTAGTCACCGCTGGCAACGTGAGCCGTTTAGGGAGCATCGCCGATGTCCAGGCCCTGTGCTAAAACTGCCACTTCCCGTGCGTTCGCTCACTGAGTCCTCCAGAACCCCACGGTCTCGCCAGGGCCTGTGTCTCTCTACATGGGGAAACGGGGCCTGCAGCGGGTGAAGTGGCTTTCCAGGATGGCTTGGCTGATCAGAGCCGGCCGAGGCGCCCGATGTGTCCCCCGTGGTGGCCCCGCGCCCGCTGGAGAATGTGGGAGCTGGGGCCGGAGGGCAGCCGGAACCCAGCGGGGGCGCGGAGGGGCGGGTTGCCGGAGCGGTGGCTAGGTCTCGCGCGGACCTGTCCCTCGCGGCGGACAGCTGTGCGGCCTGCTTTCCAGCACGGAAGGGGGTAACGGACACGGTTCGTGGAGTGCTGGGACACAGTTTCACGCGGTGGGCACCTGAGGGACCACGGCCCCCACGTGACCGTGATTGTTTATTTGTTTATTTACTTTTTGATTTGGAGTCTCACTCCATCGCCCAGGCTGGAGTGCAGTGGCACACTCACAGCCACCCCAGCGTCGACCTGCTGGGCTCTGGCATTCCTTCCGCCTCAGCCTTCCGAGTAGCAGGAACTACAGGCGCGCGCTACCACGCCCGGCTGATTTTTGATTTCTTGTAGAGATGAGGTCTCGCTGCCCAGGCAGGTCTCGAACCCGCGGGCTCAGGCAATCCACTCACCTCAGCCTCCCAAAGCGCGGGATTGCAGGGTAAGCCACGAGCCCGGCTGTGACTGTGATTATTAACATCACCCATAAGTGTTTAGGCTCAAAAGACAACACCGTTGACCTCTAGGCTCAGTCAGACCTCAGAGCCTTCTGTCCACCAGTTCCAGGAGGTAGGCACGAGGTGGACTGGGCTCTCATCCAGACGCTGCTCTTTTAGCTCTGGGCAGCCCTGTGCTTCCAAGACCTCCAGTTTTAGCGCCATCCTTTCGTCCCTGTCCCGCCCCAGCTCTCAGAACTGAGACGTGGGCTTGGACATGTCCCCCGAGAGCAGGGCACAGTCTGGACATGAGCTGGGACCAGAATGCAGAGTTCCTGCTCCCTGACCTGGTCGGAGTCACTACACCGTGAAGGCCGAGGCCCTGGCACTACCGTGGACACCACCCTCCTCAAAGACAGGCTGGAGGTACAGCCGCCCCGGTTTAGCCGGCAGGACAAAACCCAGAACTCGGCACCCACCTCCCATCTCTCCTGCCAGGAGGGGTGGGAAGGAGGAGCCAGGCTCTGGTCCTAGGAATGCCCAGGGGGCTAGACTGCCCCCAAACCTGCCTTCCCACACCGCCTCCAGGAGGCCCTCCCAGCTCCGAGCCGCTCCTCCCTCCATTCACCGTTGGACCTGGGGGGCTGGGGAAGGACTGGCTCCCTCCGAAGGAGTCTGGAGGGTGTGTGTGCGGGGAAGCCGGGAGGCTCCGCCTGTAGCCCCCTTCCTGTGCCCCTCCCGAATCTCGTCCTCACCCCTGTGCCCGCTTTCAGGTCATGAGAACAGGAAAAACGGAGCAAGAACTGAGGATCGGGGTTGGCATTCGACTCGGGGAGGAATGAGGGGGTTTGGGGGCGACGGGCGGTGACCTCTCAAGGTCTCTCTCGGTCGCCGCCGGCCCCTCCCCCGCCGGCAGGTGGGTGCGCCCAGCCTGGTGACGTCACCCCAGCCTGAGGCCGGCGAAGATGAGGCTAAGGGCAGGGGGCGAGT